ATACCACCCTACGATAGTACCGAGCCTTTTACGGTGTGGCTCAGACTCGCGGAGTTCTATTTGCGGGAGATCTCAGAGGCCGACAGGCCCTGGACACTACTCAAGGCCCTTGCGCCTAAACAGTTAGATAAAGCGCTCGACGCTGGTCTTGACGCCGATCTACCCTTTGACGCGCTTTGCCAACGCCTGGCTAACTTGTTCAGCCAAACGTACTCCTTCGGCGACGCGATGGAACAGTTGCAGCAACGGCGATTGAAACAGGACGAAACCCTGAACCAGCTGGTGCAGGATCTCGAACGCCTGACAACTGTAGCTATGCCTTCATTAGGATCTGAGGATAAAGATAACATTGTACTTCAGTATTTCATTAAAGCCCTACCGTCCTCCGAACTGTAACGGTCACTTGTACTACAACCGCCCGGTGATTTGCGAGATGCAATAGACAGAGCAGAACGTTATATCAGGATGGACAGCGCCACTCAAGGCCACCCAAAGCACCCATATCGACACCATTGGCGTCGACCTGACTTAGCCCCGGTAAGGGGCCGCTACCCTCTTAGACCACGCTTCCCAGGCCCCAACTACAACCAGTATAACCAGCAAGGTAGACCTTTCCGTAGACCCGGAGGTCCTCCGCCGTACCGCAACCAAGCGTGCACCAGCAGCCACACACCAGGCACACTGTCCATTATCTCATGCAACGATCTCCATGATAAGGCAACTCCATTCTACGCCCGAGTATTAGTTAACAACCAAGAAGTTAATGCGCTGATAGATACAGGAGCCACAGTCTCCCTAATTAATCAACGGATCACGCCACAACAGCTATACGCCATCAGGAGACCGGCATGTCCGTTCACTCGGCTGACAGCAGCAGACGGCTCTCGAATGAATCATATTGGAACCGTATCACTTGACGTAACCCTCCTTCAGAGCACGTCCAGCCACACTTTCATCGTGACCCCCAAATAAACATGGGATTTGGTGCTCGGCATTGATTTCTTAGCACGACACGGCTGCCAGATAGACGTTAAACAGCGAACGGTGCAGTTCAGCACAAAAAAGGAAGAAGAACCCATGACGCCGCCATGACGCTTCCTTGAACTCGTCTGTCTGCTTCTATTAGTTCTGGATGCTTTGTAGAGACGCAGAATTGAGACCAGACTTGTTGCCACAAATCATACCGTCCCAAGCTAGACTTTTTCTCCTCAGCTTTTCCTCATGTCTGCCCTGGGCATGATTATTAAGGAATTTTTTGTCCGAACTGTCAGAAGCATACATTCAGAGTAAAGCTTACTCTTTCTCCCTCCGGACCCGATGACCGTGAACGTCTACAGCCGTTCCTCCGGCAAACCAATACTAGCTCCCAGGATTCCGCCGCACGCCGGCAAGCAACGCTTTATTGGAGGGAGGGAGGGCAACATTCACCACATCGTCACACTACTACGGCCTGTGACGTTTTTGTGGGTAACCAATTTTCCAGATCGGCGTCTAGTCACGCCTAATGCCATTATCACTACGTGGCCTGTGACTGGTAATTCATCAGACCCGACGGTCTTCTTAGTCTGCAAGTAGCCTTTACCGACGGCTGCACTACTATCCGCCAGTCGAGAACGCGCTGGGTAGCCCATAGCCAGTCTAAGAAGCAGGGTCCGCCTTTCCGGGAACCGTAGTTCCTTTACGGGTTGTTTCGCTGTCGAGTTTGCCAAAAAAAAGCACGGTAGTAGAGCCTCTTCATTCTGTGGAATTTAAAGACTCAAGTGAATACAAAATACCTAGACCCCAAATAGAGAAAGCGTAGTGAAACACCGAAAGTGGGAACTGTGCATGGTACGACGCAGAACAATGAATTAAACAAGGCGCCTGAGAGACGTGGGTGAGGCGTCGGTTTGCGGAACAGAGGGGGGTGGAGGACGATGAGGCTGGAAGTAGTTGGGCGGGCTGGAAATTGACCCCCTGGGACACCTCGAGGAAGAAAAGGCCTCGAGGGTGGACTGGCCAGCAGGTACGATGAATTCCTGAATGAGTAAAGACAGAATATCAGAACATCCGAACGGTAACAGTATCCAACAAGCAGCAAAGACGGTCTCCACACTTTCAATGCATTACTGTTCTAAAGATAACAAATTACATGATTAAGGTGGGCGCTCCCACCAGTAATACGTACAGAAAGCGTACTTCAGGACTGTTTAGTCCAAACCTCCGTCCGGCGCAAATGTATGATTCCTTATCGGCTCGCAGCAATCACAAGCTAAAAATGGTGTTCGTTTACACATCACTCAGGTTTCCGAGCGGTAATGCGGGACTTCATCACCGGCGCACCTAGCTATAACTGGCTGTCTAATTTACGAAATGGGCAAAAGATGTGTTCCATAAAAGTGGCCTCGTTAGGGGCTTCTCCTATAAACACAGTAGCACTGAGGTGCTGGTGGCGGAAGGGCTCTGGCTAGCAATGGAGGTCAGCACCGGGTCCCGTATAAAGACTTACCAAACATGGGGGGTTGGGAAGGAGCGTGAGGAATTTCACAGCAACGGCGGGGGTGAGCTGAGGACACGGCTTAGGCGGTGACCGCTGGGCGGGTCCCCTTGACGATACGCGCACGAGCACCAACAATGCCACGACGATCTCCATGAGTCTTGCGCGAGGTGCGGCTGATGGTGCGACGTCGCGGACGCGTAAGAGGCAGGATGTTTCTTGGCTTCTTGACGCGGTAGATGCGCACTAACCAGTGCTCCGAGGTGAAGGCCTCCTCCAGGTAGCGCAGATCAATGTTCTTCTGACCAATCTCCACATTTCGAGTTCTGTCATAACCGGAAGGCATGCGGGGGTCTAGTTTGAGCTCCCCAAAGCGGTAGTAGCTCATCTTATACATCAAGGAGTTGACAAACGTCTTGGGCGCCTGATGATCGACGCGGTATTCACCCTGTTGGGAGCAAAGCGCAGGCAGGGGGCTGAGCATTAGTAACTTGTAAAGATAGGTATTGGAAAATAGCAACGGCAGACAATACAAATCCCAAGTTCCTCAACAAATTCGACCTGACTTTAATTGGAAGGACGTGAGTGATGTGAGCATGGTGGAGCGAAATCCACACTCAAACAAGAACGTCTAGTTGCATAGACAACCGCAATTGGCTGACGCAGTGCGGACAACTGCTGTCACAAAAAGAAAATTTGTTAGGAATGTTCACTGTCCAAGCAAGAGAAATCCCTCATGCTTGAGCGGTGTGGTGTGCATGGCATCTTAGGTGGTTTATTTTATACTCTATTGATCAACAATCGGGTAGATGGGCGCCTATTCGTGGGCCCTACCACCCTAATCGTCGGTTCATGTGTGGATAAGTTTCCAATTTAGCCTGACAGAAACTGGCAGCGGCCGAGTAGCCGATGCGATTCGGTTCAATGTGCTTACGGTCCATCGTTTCAACCTCGCTTGTGGATTGCCTGCTTCATTAAAGTGTGAATGTGCGTGTTTCTGGTCACAGGTGCTGGTCAATGTTAGGGCTGGCTTGGAGAGAGCATAAACAGTTATCTATATCGGCTCGTCTTGTTCTTGCCGATTAATCGCTGAAAAAAGTGAATGGGACATGCCTGGGGCGGTCACGTACCGTCAGGCTTTAATGTGAACTCAAGGCAACTTTTCACAGGAGGAATGTGGCAAACGTCAAATGTGCAAAATATAATAAGCCAAAACAGTGGATGCGAATGTGAGCTATGGCCCTAAAATACATCGGCAGACTAACAGGACTGTTAGTGGGGTAGTTTGAACACGGTCACGCCCCAAGGCTGGGAATAAATCCGAAATGGACGCTGTCTCAGCCTACCCATCGTCCTCATCAATCTGAAGATGCCAACCATAAATTACCAGTCCTTCATCTCATTGACATGGATGCAGTGAATAGGAAAAAGGTAGAAAAACTGAGATGAGTGTTTCAGCAACGTGAAACGCTCTTGTACAGCGAGAAAAGACCCCGTTCGGGGCACCCACAGTGGGTATTTGGGCTGACCCCACGGCATCAGAAGGTATGGAAAGTGCTACTGCGAACTTGTGTTACTAAAATAGGTCGAACAGAGGCCCCGGTGACAGTTCAACCATCGCGACCGATGACGTCCACCGTGTGCCCAGCAGCATGGTGAGCGCAGAACGGTGGCCTACGCGTGAATTAGTTCGCAGCGACAGAAGATGTACGCAGCATCTGCAGCATTCTCTTTTCCCCTACTCACCTGAGCCCGGTGAGTAAGACAGTGTCAGGTCGACCGGGGTGGGGTGGGGTCGGGGCCAGTGAATGGCAAAGCTAAACGTCCGCCTACATACGTGTGCCACACACGACCTGGTCCAGCACAATGTAACAGGTTCTCACAAAAGGGGGACGGTTCGGATCTGAACTACGTGGGAGTGCTCTGGTGCCCGCGTGCAGGAACAATTGCAGCCTGACTCTCTTCGTCCTGAGGGGAGGACCTAGTTAGCCCGTCAGCTGGCAGCCTTCTAAGTCATGACTCTAAACGCGTCAGATTTATTATAGTGAGGAATGCACTGTGGTGTCATGTAAGTAGATCAAGAAATGCTGTCCGCGTCCTCTCTTCCCTCTTCCATGCAACAACTCAATCTGAATGCGTCAAGCGGTGTGAATGTGGCCCTGTCTGTGCGCTACTATCGTGGGGTCAGATTCCAAGTTGTAGGAAGAAGACAAAAGGAACCTGGATGTGGGGTTTAATGTATACAAACACAGAGTCGTCCGCTCAGTCAGCAGTGGCCACTGGCGAAGCAATGGTTGGTTTTGAATGCGTCCAGTCAGGCCTGGGAGTCCTTGGGACAGTGGTGGCAGCTACTTTTGTAGACTCTTGGGCAAAGCTCAAGTGGTCTCCAATCGGTGTGTGCTGCATTTTCCGAGGGGTGGTGTTCCAGTGGCTTAGGCTGTGGTTGCAGGTGCATTCAAGTGACCTCATGGGCAGTTGCGGCTGTGCAGACGCAGGTATGCGCGAGAGGTTGGTCGTGTGACTTCAGGTCAGTGCGTCTGGAACAGCTCACGGCAAGTGGGGCAGCGAGGTCTTGAACAGTGACACTAGACCGCTCATGATGACTGCCCGCCACAGATCAGGCAATGATGGCCGCGTCCTCTCTTTCCTCTCATTTGCACCGGTTGACTATCCGAGTCTGTCAGTCTTCTGGTGTTGGGATTGGGAACGGCGTGAGGCCTATGTCTATCCTCGCGCGAACTGACTAACGCTTGCCGTGATGATGATGATGATGATGATGATGATGATGATGATGATGATGATGATGATGATGATGATGATGATGATGATGATGATG